ATACTCAAATCAAATATTACTTTAAGATAAAACTAAAATGAAGAGGAATAGGAAAAAAAAGGAATTGAGAATGTTTACTACCAGAAAGATAGTAGGTAATTTGGGCCAAACCTCTTAATGAGGAAAACAAGAAAAAGTGAGCAAGTTTTTTATTAACTGACAGAGGCATCAAAAAGATTTCCACTTTCTGGCCCGAGAAGTAACAAAGAGCCTAGAACAAAGCTGAAAAACTGGAAGCTGTTGAAAAGCAACAACTCTTCTTATTCATCAGAAGAGAGGTCACAGGGAAGATTGCTGCCCCAAAAGCCAGAGTGAGAGACAACTGATGTAATGGTTAATTCTACATGTTGACTTGACAAGGCAATCAGCTGCTCTGACACTTGGTCAAATGGTATACAAGTGTTTCTGGAAAAGATTAACATTTGACCTGGTGGACTGAGTAATGTGGATTGCACTCCCTAACCAGATAAGCCTCATCCAGTCAGTTGAAGACCTAAACAAAATAATGGTTAATATAATACATCATATCAAGAGGCTATAGAAGAAAAACAGTCACATAATTTTATCAATAGATGCATTAAAAGTATTTCAGAAAATTTAACACCTATTCATGATAAAAAAAAAACCATCAGTACACTAGGAAAAGAGAACTGCCTCAACTTCATAAAGAAATAGCTCTAGAATACCTACTTAAATAGCTAATACCAAATAGCTAATACCAAACTTAATCATAAGAAATCAGAAGTTTCACTGCTAAGATTAGGGGCAAGGCAATTTGTCCCTTATTGCCACTCTTTTCAGTATTGTACTACAAAGCATAATCAATGCAATAAAACAAGAAATTAAATAAAAAGTATACAGATTGGGCAGAAAAACATAAAAGTTTCTTTGTTCACTGATGATATTTGTCTATTAAATTCAAAACAATTGATGAAACAAACCTCTCAGAACTACTAAGTGATCAATAGTGAGGTTGCAGAAAACAAAGTTGATATACAAAATTCAATCATTTTCCTGTATAACAGCAATGAACAATTGGGCAAACAATACTATCTAACAATGAAAAATCATTCAAAACTGAAAAAGTAACCTATCAAATCATGAAAATAATACATAAAGGAAAATTCAATGCATATTACCAAATGAAAGAAGCCAGTCTGAAAAGGCCCCCTTCTGTATGATTCCAACTACATGACATTTTGGAAAAGGCAAAATGTGGAAACACTGGAAAGATCAGTGGTGGCCAGGAGATAGTGGGGACGGAGGATGAACAGGTGGTGCACAGGATTGTTAAGACCGTGAAACTACTTTCTGGGATACTGTTAATGGTGGATAAGTGTCATTATACATTCAACTAAACCAGGAGTGAACTGTAAGGCAAACTATGAACTTTGGGTGATTAATGATGTGTCAGTGTAGGTTTGTTGAGTATCATTTATGAACCACTGTGATGGGTGATGTTGATAGTGAGGGTGGTTCTGGTGGGTTGGGGGCTAGCATTATACGGAAAATCTCTGTGCCTTCCTCTTAATTTTATTATAAACCCCAAACTACTTACTCTAGAAGTTAAAGTCTTTTCTTATTGAAACACTAAAAAACAAAACAAAAAACCTAAACTAAATATAAAGAAAAAATTGTGAAAGTCCAGAGAGAAATGATGCATTACTTATAGAGGAACCCCCTTGGAGTTACAGTCAATTATGAGACATGGAATATAGCCTTATTCTACGGAGTCCAGAAGGAAGTAGCACAATAGGTTTTTAAGTGCTACAAGAAAGGAATTGTCAATTTCAAGGAAAATTTGTCTCGTTCTAGTCACACAACAGTTCTGACACCAGATATGCAGGCTTTTCCCACCCCAAGCAATTCTCCAATTCCAGCGGATACCAACTGGGTGTCCTACAATTTACCTGAGCTCTAACACTAACCGCCCACAGTTAGCAGGGCTAACTGGGCTCAGTCCCACATGATGACTCCCTCACTCCTCCATTTCACATAGCAGTCCCGGGTTGTCACCTGTATTTCTGATCAGTCAGCTACAATCAGGGGTTTCTATGATCCCCGTCTCTGAGTTTGATAATTTGCTAGACAGAACTGCGCACAAAACTCTGGGTAATAATTAGCTTTTTATCAGTCTATTTTAAAGGATACAACTCAGGAACTGTCAGATAGAAGAGATGCATAGGACAAGGTACAGGGAAGGAACAGGGAGCTTCCATGCCTCCCCTGGACACACCACCCTTCCAGCACCTCAGTGTGCTCACCAACCTGGAAGCTCGACAAACCCCTTCAGTTAGGATGCTACAGGAACTTCATTTTTCAGGAATAGTTAGTTTATTAAATCACTGTGCATTGGTAAACTAGCACAACATCTGGCTCCTCTCCCTTCTCCAGAAGTCAAACTCTCCACTTTCTGCTTAATTTTGTTGTGAACCTAAAAATCCTCTTAAAAAGAATGTCAAATAAATAAATAAATAAACAAATAAATAATAAAAATAAATTAAAAAAACAAAAATAATGTCTTTTTTTTGGGGGGGGAATCCTTCAAGTCCTCAAAGCAACTAGGGAAAATGATATATGGCCCTCTAAGGAGCATCAGTTAAGGGACAGCTAGCTGACTTTACCACGGAAACTGAAAGCCAGAGGCACTGGCATTATCTTCAAAATGCTAAAACACCTGCCAACCTAGAATTTTATACCAGTGAAAACATTCCTCACGAACAAAAGGAAAAGGAAGACATTTTCAAATAAACAAAAGCTAATAAGAACTTTGTCACCAGCAAATCTACACTATAGAAAATTCAAAAGTGTGTTCTCCATGCATTAAGTTTCCAGAACAGCAATAACAGTTCTGTTATTTAGAATTAAAATACCTAACAATAACATGCACGTGAAGAAAGAAAAAACTGAGACAAAGCATTTTAATGTCTTTATAGTGTAAAGTGGGTAAAAGTATTCGAAAGAACTAGTTGACAGATTAAGGTTGAGTGTTATTTATATAAACTCTTGAGCATCCAGCAAAGCAAAAAATTCAATTAGCAAATAATTCATGAAGCAGGCAATAAAAGGCTGAGAAACTAAAACAGAACAAAAATCTAGAAACCCACTATCATATTTGGAAAAAGGGGAAACTAACACAACTAAAACACAAAGAAATAATTAAGTGTTATGATAGTCCAAGAATGAATACATAATACAACGGAACCATGAGTAGCCGGGAAATGAAATTTGGGGTTGCATTCTCCAACAGTGGTCAAGATCTACTGATACTGAGGTGAAGTTTCTGTGAATCCGTAGTGAATGTCTGTAATGACTGAAAACCTGTTCAGGATGGAAAGAATGGAAACTAGTTTGATGGAAAAAGAAAAACCAGTCCTGCCATTTTTCAGACTGGGAGGTAGACACGGATAATAAGAGACACTGTGGCTGCCAAGGGGGTGTAGCAGTTGTAAAATGTCACCTCTTTGAGTGAGCATTACTTTCTCACCAGTGACACCCCCAGATCCTGTCTGCTATACCCATTTACTTCTAGGGGGCCCCAATTGCTAAACTACCCTCACCTCGTGCCAGAACCCAAGCCTGGCTAGACCCGCTGTCTAATCTTGCATTGGAATCAAGCAGTCTGGACGTCGTGCCTGCTTTCCTCAGACTCCCTTCAGGATCCTGCACCTGGGGCCTAACCCTGCAATCTCTCCCCCTTTGTCTCCATTGAGACTGGCACTTCATCATTCCTCTCGAACTCCCTCCCTCCCTGAAAGTCAGCAGATCTGATTTTGTCAGACCCTAGGTTTGTCCCTGCAAGACCCTGGCTGATTAAGTGTATATAGCTTTTTTTTAAGGCAATGCAGTCTTTATATCCTAAATGTCTTTAATGTAGAAGGCTGCCTTCCTTCTGAGACAATGCTCTCTTCCTCTGAGACACTTAGAATGTCTCATAGTTTATGAAATAAGGGTGACACTTCCTACTTTTCTAAGCAACAGTGCTAAAAAAACAAACAAAAATGGAGCTGTCTTATTTAGACCACACTGTCTTTAAAGTTTTAATAGTTTACAAAATTTCAGCGTGTGAATCACTGCTATATAAAGGGACAAAATAATGAGGGGCAGAAAAGAGGGAAAACGATGTGATGTGTAAAAGGCATTATGACAGTTAGAGGTAAAGGCTTTCATTTATTTTTTTAGATTTATTTATTTATTTATGATAGACATAGAGAGAGAGAGGCAGAGACACAGGAGGAGGGAGAAGCAGGCTCCATGCCAGGAGCCTGATGTGGGACTCAATCCCGAGACTCCAGGATCGATCCCGAGACTCCAGGATCGCGCCCTGGGCCAAAGGCAGGCACCAAACCGCTGAGCCACCCAGGGATCCCTGGTAAAGGCTTTTAAACATCACTCTCGTCATTCACCAAATCTAATTCCAATTAAATATTTTTTTCTTTTAAACCTATATTTTAAAACTCAAACCACGAAAGAGAACTAAAACTGATATGAAAACAGTAATGCATAAGCACTTTCCAAGTTTAGAAGCCTAGAAAGAAATGACTAATTTTAGTTAATTTCAGCTTGTAGGATGATGATACTTATATTACTTGCCAGACCTGGCCCCCCGCGAAACCTATCTTCAAAGACAAAATCTTCTGGAACTGTTCTATCCTGGGCTCATCACTGCAACGGAGGGTATCCAGGGAGGAGAGAGGCTGCCGGGCCTGAGCTCCTTGAGTAGTCGGGGCCACTGACCTACAGCCACCCGTACTGGCCGCTGCCTCTGGAAGGCAGACTTCTGCTCGCAGGCCACAGTGACCCTGTTGAGAGGGAGGCTCTTCAGAGCAATGGGATCCTCTAGCCACAGGATGGATATTCTGGAGATAGCAAGCGGAGACTCGGACATTCGAAGGACAAGGAAGAAAGCACTAGAAGAGTCAACCCTTAGACTGGTCTAATAAAGTCTCAGAGGTAGGAATTCAGACTATACGTTCTTGAATGTAGGGGCCCGCACTCACGTGGTGACCGTGTTGAAGCCGCAGGCCTTCAGCTTCTGCAGGCGGTCCCTCCAGTACTCCCTGGGCACCCGGAAGTAGTGGATGGTGCCTGCTATGATCAGGAAGGGGGAGCCGTCCAGCGTGAAGCTCGAGCCTTCTACTTTCAGACCCACACCACGATTTATCATGCGGGAGGGAGTCAGGAAAATCTGATTCATCCTGCAAGGACAAAGGAGCGTGTGAGGTCCTAAAGATGTGACCCATGGGGCCCACGGGCAGATAAGAAAGGCCTTTCCTTCAGGGCCCTAGGTGCACCTCCAGGGCAAAGGGAAACTTCCCAGCCCTTCCCAAACATACCTGGGTGAAAAGTGTCCTCTAAACTGAGCTAGTACCAATAATCCTGAAGACAGGTACAGGATGCCCACCGGCCTCAACAAGGTCAGCATGCTAGGCGGAGAGGACAGAGCGCAAGTCAGACACTGCGGACGCCCAGGAGGCTGCGGGAGCTGAGTGAGGCCTGGCGGGTGGAGGTGGCCTCCCTGGATGGCAGGGTTCCGCACGTGGTCCCCGGGCTTCTGCACACAGTCCCCGGGCTTCACCACCTGCACTCAGGACAGACAGCACCTCAGGGACACGTCTACTGGCTGCAGGAGGGGGCCAGCGCCCCAAAGAACCTCCTGAGAGTCACTGGGCTTCCGGGCACCACTTATTTCTTAGAGAAGATCGGGCGGTGGAGGTTTCCCAGAAGAGAGGACAGTGTCTGGGAGTGTGCACGGGGCCCCCCTGCCCCCTAGACACGAGCCCTAACAGTCAGCGGCTAGCAGAGAACCCAGGGCAGAATGCAGGGGCCTCTTCTGGAGCAAGGTCCCAACCTGCCCCGGCAGCCCAGCTACCAGCCGCTCTGCTGCTGTGGGGCGCTCGCCTCATCACCCCCAACACCCTCTCCTCTGTCCCCGTGATCTTTTTATTTTTTTTAAGATTTTATTTACTTATTCATGAGAGACACACAGAGAGAGAGAGAGGCAGAGACACAGGCAGAGGGAGAAGTAGGCTCCATGCAGGGAGCCGGATGTGGGACCTGATCCCGGGTCTCCAGCATCACGCCCTGGGCTGAAGACAGGCGCTAAACTACTGAGCCACCCAGGGATCCCCTGCCAGCGATCTTTCATTTTTATTTATTTTTATTTTTTTTAATAAATTAATTTTTATTGGTGTTCAATTTACCAACATACAGAATAACACCCAGTGCTCATCCCGTCAAGTGTCCCCCTCCGTGCCCGTCACCCATTCACCCCCACCCCCCGCCCTCCTCCCCTTCCCAGCGATCTTGACGCGCTCACCTGCACCGGCGGCAGACGCTTTCCTCCTGCAGCAAAAGCCCAGACCCCAGGTGCGCAGAACCAGGGCGGCCTAGCACAGACGGCGGGGGGGGGGGGGGGGGCGGTTAGGGGGGCACCTGCCTGCGGCGCGGCTCTGTCCTCACCCACCGCAGAGCCTGAACCACCCAACAGGGGTTTTCTGAACAAAGGCAGGAGACGCCAAACACCTGTGCGGCCTCCGTGAGCTTCGGCTTTCCCGCCGGCGTCCTGAGGCTTCCCCCGGGTGGAGGTGGGCGCAGAGGCTGGAACCGCTGTCAGGAAAACCGATGTAGACGCAACGGGGCCCCGGGATAGAGACCGCGGAGCCCCCAGGACGGAGACCGCGGAGCCCCCGGGATGGAAACCGGGAGCCCCGGGATGGAGGGAGTCCTGGGGACCGCTCGCGCTCGGCGGCCGCTCGGGAAGTCCGGGGGGCGCACAGAGGGACACAGCGGCACCCGGAGCCCGGAGGAAAAGTGCAGAAAGTGCGGGAAGCCGAGGGGTCGCCCGCGTGGACGCGGCGTGGGGCTGCCGGGCGGGCCCCGAGCTGAGGGAGGCCCCGGGGCTGTCGCGGCTGCGCTCCGGGGGCGCCGGGGCCGAGCTCGCCTTACCCTGCGCCCCGCGCTCCGCAGCTCGCTGCAGCGGGCAGGACGCGGGGGAACCTGCCTCCTGGGCGCTCCGCCCCCCGCGGCCCCCGCCCCCAGCCCATCCCCTCCATCCCCCGCGTACCCTCCATCCCCCACGCCGCGCCCCGGGTCCATCCCCTCCATCCCCCCCACCCGCCCCCGCACCCCGCGGGCAGACGCAGCCACCGCCAGCGGCCGGACCCCGTGGGTCCGCAGCGGGGTGGGGCGCCGCAGGGAGCTGGCCCGGCCCTCTCCGCCCCGCCGCTGGCCCCCGGCCCCGGGCTGGCTCCCGCCTTCAGGGGGCGTCACCGGCAGGGACAGCTCAGGCTGCGGGGCGGTGTCAGCGGAGTCAAGGCCGCGGAATACAAAAAGTAGTGGAAGGGAATAGAGGGGAAGGGAGAAAAAATAGGTGGGAAATATCAGAGAGGGGGACAGACCATGAGAGACCCCTGACTCTGGGAAACGAACTAGGGGTGGTGGAAGGGGAGGTGGGTGGGGGGTGGGGTGACTGGGTGGTGGGCACTTGGGGGGGCACTTGACGGGATGAGCACTGGGGGTTATTCTGTATGTTGGCAAATTGAACACCAATAAAAATTAATTTATTAAAAAAAAAAAAAGACCGCGTTCCCTCCGCGCCCCGCAAGCCCGCGCGGCTCACCCCGAGTGCTGCCCTGGCGCCGCCTGCCCCTCTGCCCCCCACGCCCGAGGGGACCCACACGCCCGTCCACACCCGCGGGGACCCACACACCCGCCCACACCCGCGGGGACCCACACGCCCCTCCGCCCCCCACACCCGCGGGACCCACACAGCCGTCCACACCCGCGGGGAAGCCGGTGCAGCGGAGCCACCCACCGGCACCCTGGCTGGCCGCCGTAGGTTGCGGGCTGGGGGCAGGGGTGCCCCGCTCCGCGACAACCGCAGCCCCCCCCCCCACCGTGTGGATGGCCTGGGCACGCGTCCCCGGAGGGCAGCCCCCGGCTGGGCCGGGCCGGAGCACACGGAAGGACGAGCCCTCGCCCCGGGGCGCCCGCCGCGCTGGCAGCCTGGCGCCTCCAAGCGGGCTGGGAACCCGTCCACACGCAGAGGCTCGGTCCGTCGGGGGTTCAGGATCTGGGGCTGTGTGGGCGGCGTCGGTGTTCGAGCGCGCACCCTGGGGCACGCGGACTGGGGGGCCCCGCCTGCAGCCTCCCTCTGCCCCGTGCGCCCCACCTGCGGGGAGCCCCGAGGGCACCTGAGGCCGGCGGGGTCAGGAAGTGGAGGAGCCGCGTCTACACCCGCCTGTCCGGTGCGCAGCGCCTGAGCGCTTGGGGTGGGCCCTTCCTTCAGCTTTGGCCCCGCAGCTGCCCCCAGCCACCCCACCCCCCGCCCCGGGGTGGGGGGGGGGTCAAGCGCCAGTTAGAGCCCTCAGCTGTGCGGCCACTGCTGCTGAGAACCTCGGGTGCGGGGCCCCTCCGGATGGCGGCATCCGTATCTTTGGGGCGAACTCCCGGAGCGCCTGGCGGGGCCTAGCGCAGCTCTATTTGAAGTCCCTGAGGCCCCGCACAGTTTTCCAGGTGGCTGCGCGGGTGGCCGCCTCCCCCTTCTCGTCCTCAAGCTGGATTGTTTCCCTGGCAAACCTTAGCCCTTGTGACAGCGGCGGGCGTGTCTCCTTGTGGTTCTGTTTGTATTTCCCCGATGCCAGGGATGTGGGGCATTTATTCATGTGTCTGTTGGCCACGTGTAGGTCTGCTTTGGAGAGATGCCTGTTCATGCCTTCTGCCCATTTCTTGACTGGATTGTTTGTTCTTTGGGTGTTGGAGAATTTCCCAATAGATCTTGGACACCAGCCCTTTATCCGACATGTCATTTGCAAATATCCTCTCCCTCTGCAGGGTGTCGGTTAGTTTTGCTGACTGTTCCCTTTGCTGTGCAGAAGCTTTTTATTAATGAAGTCCCAAGAGTTCATTTTTGCCTTTGCTTCCCTTGCCTCTGGAGATGTGCCCAGCAAGAAGTTGCTGCAGCCAAGGTCAAAGAGGTTGCTGCCTGCGTCCTCCTCTAGGATTTTGATGGATTCGTACCTCACATGTAGGTTGTTCATCCATTTCGAATTTAGTTTTGTTTATGGTGTAAGAAAGTGCTCCAATTTCATTCTTCTGGATGTGGCTGTCCAGGTTTTCCAACACCATCTGTTGAAGAGACTCTTTTTTCCGGGGGATAGTCTTGCCCGCTTTGCTGAAGACATGTTGACCATAGAGTTGAGGGTCCATTTCTGGGTTCTCTGTTCTGTTCCATTGATCTATGTGTCTGTTTTTGTGCCAGCATCATACTGTCTTGACTATCACAGCTTGTAATACAGCTTGACGTCTGGCATTGTGATGCTTCCAGCCTTGGGTTTTTTTTTTCTTCAATATTCCTCAGGCTACTCAAGGTCTTTTCTGGTTCCATACAAATCTTAGGATTATTTGTTCCAGCATGAAAAATGTTGGTGGTATTTTTTTTAAGATTTTATTTATTTATTCATGATAGACAGAGAGAGAGGCAGAGAGAGAAGCAGGCTCCATGCTGGGAGTCCGACGTGGGACTCGATCTCGGGACCCCAGGACCGCACCCTGGGCCAAAGGCAGGCGCTAAACCGCTAAGCCACCCAGGGATCCCTGCTGGTGGTATTTTGATAGGGATTGCGTTGAATGTATAGATTGCTTTGGGTACCAAAGACTTTTTCACAATATTTGTTCTTCCAGCCCATGAGCATGGAATATTTTTCCATTTCTTTGTGTCTTCCTCAATTTCCTTCATAAGTGTTCTGTAGTCTTCAGAGTACAGATCTCTTATCTCTTGGTTAGGTTTATTCCTAGGTGTCTTATGGTTTTTGGTGCAGTTGTAAATGGAACTGAGTCCTTGATTTCCTGTTCTGCTGCTTCATTGATAGTGTATAGAAATGCAACAGACTTCTGGGTATTGATTTTATATCCTGCCACATTGCTGAATTGCTGTATGAGTTCTAGCACTTTTGGGTGGAGTCTTTTGGGTTTTCCACATAGAGTGTCATGTCATTTGGGAAGAATGAGTTTGACGTCTTTATTGGTTTTTTTTTTTTTAGTTATTTATGATAGTCACACACAGAGAGAGAGAGAGAGAGAGAGGAAGAGACACAGGCAGAGGGAGAAGCAGGCTCCATGCACTGGGAGCCCGACGTGGGACTCAACCCCGGGTCTCCAGGATCACGCCCTGGGCCAAAGGCAGGCGCCAAACCAATGCACCACCCAGGGATCCCTCTTTATTGGTTTGAATGCCTTTTATTTCTTCTGTCTGACCTGAGGCTAGGACTTCTAGTCCTATGTTGAACAACAGGGGTGGGAGTGGACATCCCTGTCGTGTTCCTGACTTTAGGGGAAAGGCTCCCAGTGTTTCCCATTGAGAATGATATTCCTTGTGGATTTTTTGTACATGGCTTTTATGATGATGAGGCATATTCCCTCCATCCCTACACTGTGAAGGGTTTTTATCAAGAAACTTGTATTTTGCCAAATGCTTTTCCACATCTGTTGAGAGGATCATATGATTGTCATATTTTGTTTTATTAATGTGGTGTATCAGGTTGATTGATTTGTGAATGTTGAACCAACTTGCAGCCAAGGAATAAATCCCAGTTGATTCTGGTGAATAATCCTTTTAATGGACAGTTGGATCCCATTAATTAGTATCTTGGTGAGAATTTTTGTATCTGTATTCAGCAGGGATATTGGTCTGTAATTTTCCTTTTTATTGGGGTCTTTGTCTGGTTTGGGGATCATGGTAATGCTGGCCTCATAGAATGGATTTGGCAGTTTTACTTCCTTTCCTATTTTTTGAAACAGCTTCATAAGAATAGATACTAATTCTTCTTAAAATGTTTGGTAGAATTTAGCGGAAAAGCCATCCAGCCCTGGACCCTTCCTTGTTGGGAAATTTTTGATTACTGATTCTGTTCTTTACTGGTTATGAGTCTGTTCAGGTTTTCTATTTCTTCCTGTGTCAGTTTGGTAGCTTATATGTTTCCAGGAACACATCCATTTTTTCCAGATTGCCTAATTTTTTGGCATATAATTGCTCATAATATTCTCTGACAATTGTTTGTATTTCTTTGGTGTTGGTTGTGATCTCTCCTCTTTCGTTCCTGATTTTATTTATTTAGGTCCTTTCTCTTTTTGATAAGTCTGGATAGGGATTTATCAATCTTGTTAATTCTTTGAAAGAACCAAGTCTTAGTTTCATTGATCTGTTCTACTGGTGTTTTTTATTTCTAATTCATCGATTTCTGCTCTAATCTTTGTTATTATCTTCTTCTGCTGGATTTGGGCTTTATTTGCTATTCTTTTCCCAGCTCCTTTAGGTGTAAGGTTAGGTTATGTATTTGAGACTTTTCTTGCTTCTTGGGGAAGGCCTGTATTGCCATATGCTTCCCTCTTGAGACTGCCTTGTTGCACCCCAAATATTTTGAACTGTCATGTTTTCTTTTTCATTTGCTTCCATGCATTTAAAAAATTCTTTAATTTCCGGGTTAACCCATTCATTCTTTAGTAGCATGTTCTTTAACCTCCATGTATTTGTGGTCCTTCCAAATTTTTTCTTGTGGATTTCAAGTTTCATAGCATTGTGGTCTGAAAATATGTATAGTATGACACAATCACAAGATTTGTGTCCTGGTGTGTGGTCTATTCTGGAGAATATCTCATGTGCACTCCAGGAGAATGTGTATTCTGTTGTTTTAAGATAAAATGCTCTGAATATATCTATTAAGTCCATCTGGTCCAGTTTGTCATTCAAAGCCATTGTTTCCATGTTGATCTTCTGTTTAGATTATCTGTCCATTGCTGTGAGTAAGGTGTTAAAGTCCTCTACTATTATTGCATTATTTTCAGTGGTTTTTTTATTTTGTTATTAATTGATATATATATATATATATATATATATATATATATATATATATATATATATTTGGGTGCTCCCAC